GTTTCCTTATTGACATTTATAATCATCCCGGCGCTCATAAAACGCCTTCTCTTGCTAAAATCTTTGATAAACTAAATGCCATAAAAATAACAGCTTTTTGAATAAGCGATCAAATTCTCAACTCTTTCCGAATTGGCTTTTTACCTTATCGCTCTTGCGAAAAATTTCCTATGTCTTTTCTAAATCCACTAACTTGTTTTCGTAATGCTTATTTATCTGTGGTGGCTATCTATTTTGATCGTAGCAAAGCATTCGATAAGGTGCCTCATCGGCGACTCCTAGCTATACTAGAGGCCAGAGAATTTCGCGGTCCCCTTTCTGACCTTACTTATATTTATCTAGTAGAAAATAAAAGGTTTTAATGGGGACCTCATAATCTACTCCTACCGCAATTTTAAGCGATGTCCTTCAAGTACCGTGCTAGGTCCTCTGTTGTTCTTGCTTTTCATAAATTATATTTAATCGCCAGTTAAATATTTTCAATCTTATATTTATGTGGATGATCTTAAATGTGTGTACTCCTTCTCTAACTCTACGGTCGAGTCATAGAATAAATTCATTCGGACTTGGACAATCGTTTTGGATGGAGCTCCATGTGGCCGACAGAGTTCTAAACTTCTATTTGTCGCTAAATGTGTTTTGTGCCTGAAAGATTGTCACAGCCTGTTATTTTTCAAGTTTGCCCAAAGAATGAATGTTTCATCAGCATGGTCTTCGGTTTAAGCTAAACTAATACATTATACCTTTCGTTTCACACCGATAGAATTACGGCCAAAGCTGCTCAGATTTGCGGCTTTATTTATTATAATTCCTACGTTCCTGAAATTAAATTGACTTTATCTTATGTTTGTGCAACCCATTCTAGAATACTGTTGCCCAGTCTCTGGCCTGATGTACGAAACAAGCTGCTTCAAATTGAAAATATTCAAACATATTTCACGTAAATCTCGTATATCCGACATTTTAAAATACTCCCTGCCCAAATAGCGGCAAGCAAACTAAACTAAAATTTCTTTGGGTGAGGATACTTGAAGCAGTCTTTCATCTCCCTTTTCGCCTGAAGTTCAAATCTCCGCAAGATTTTTCTCCTTCACCCCGATAGTCGTCCTTATAACATAAGAAATTCTGCACTTAATATATTTACTCCTTTATCCGTCATATCTAAACAGTCCCTATTCCTTATTTCCGGGTATAGCCTTCTTTGGAATAACTTGCCAACTGACATTAGGTCGTAAACTCTTTTATCTGCATTCATCCGAAGACTACACATTTATCTTAACACTGATTCTGTCACCTTTTATTTTCCCTATCTTTCTCGAGCAGATTTCACCATGGCTCTGAGAAAGGACCATTGGGAATTTAGGAGACCTTCTTACACTATTTGTCGCTGACTCGTGTTCCCCAACGAACAACAATATCTCATAACACCAGACATTAAAACAATGAAGTTATACGGACATCCCCAGTCTAAACTGCTTCCGTTTCGGTGGCTACTAACCATTGCCAGA